AACCTATTTCTCAGCTAGGGCCAAAGTGCAAAACTTAGGGGGCACGCGGAGTTGAACCACGGACCTCTCGATCTGCAGTCGAATGCTCTACCACTGAGCTACAGTCTGTATCAAAAGTATAGGGACACTCTTATTTTTGCCCATAACGAAGCTCATGTTTTCCCAGTCGGTCCGTTTTTTTTTTCCCAGTCGATTCAGCGGATCATAAAATGCTTAGTTTCAGCCAGTAGCAACGACTGACAGTATTTTTATAATTTTTTGAAGCGAAAACGTCAGAAATTCTTGTATCAAAAGTATAGGGACAGTTGCTGTTGGACCACCGTTTTGCTTAGAAAAAAATCAGCAAAAGGTGAATTGATAACCAGGTAGTACTGTTTTATTTATTGGCATTTTAGACGTCCTATTTGGCATACTGTAGAAGTTGTTACTGGCGAGGTTAATCTCCAGATTGCTTCAAGCACTCACAACGACATTTTTGATGACTTCATCTCAAATACACTCTCTGTTTTTGGAGCAGATCTACCTAAAAATAGTCCTAATCATATTCTGCATTGGAAATAATTCTCAGCAGCACGGTTGTTGCCCCAAATCGTAGAGCTTTTGAGAACTTAGCCACCGTCAAGTGGGCGAAGTCACAAACATGAGTTGGTTTCTTCGCATGAGAATGGAGTTTTGTTGACAACATCATCTCAATAGTGGTGATACGACATCGCCACGGTTCCGCTAGAGCTCGTTCACCCACACTCTGCATGATCGAAAGGCGAAGGACTGCAAACGTCATGCTCGTTGTGGCATCCCAATCTCTGCAACCGTCACTTCCTAGGTTCCTTCTCCAAGACGAGGCCGGCTTCTGAATGAAAACAGGAATGCAGCTCCAATTCGTAAAAGATATCCGAGTAACCTTTTCCCAACAAGGGCGAATGCAATATATCGAGAAGGTGTCGTATTTTTAGGAATGAACAAATGCTGCGATGATTGCACGGTTAGAGACGCATCTGTGACCATGGCGTAGGTAGCTCTGTGCTTTAGGATCGTCCAGAATATAGCATGGCAAGCTCTGCCAGAGCCTTGGAGATGTTTCAGTGCCACGATTGCAGTGTTACTGTTACCAAAACTTTACCTTCAGGCAAGAAAATGTAACTATCCACCAGGGTCACACCAACTGAGCGTGACTCAGCTCATCCAGGTTGGAAGGTTTGGACCGGCAATCCTGCTTTAAAAAGAATTTTCCAATTATGGATCCTTGCTAGTTATTTCTGGATGGGTCTGAGCTCGAATCAATTGAGGCATCTCCGTAAAGGAACTCAAAAAAGCCAATCCTGGTGTTTGGATCCACCAGGAGATCAGCCTCGCCAGCAACAAGTTCTGCAGCACGGCTAGTAGGATGCTTGAAGTGGCAATAAATGAAGGACTACCTAGTGATGATCAATCCACTTTTTGCTGATTTTTCCCGAGCAAAACGGTGATCCAACAGCGAGTGTCCCTATACTTTTGATACAAGGAATTTCTGACGTTTTCGCTTCAAAAAGTTATAAAAATTCTGTGAGTCGTTGTGATTGACTGAAACTAAGTGTTTTAGGGTTTCTTGACCTGCTAAATCAAGTGGGCATAAAATCAGACCGATTAGAAAAAAGTGAGCTTTGTTATGGGCAAAAATTAGGGTGTCCCTATACTTTTGATACAGGTTGTATACCCCCACAACCGCGATCCGAGAGAGTGTGGATTGCGGCGAAACCCGCATTTGTGTGTCAGCAACGTTGTCAGTCGGGTTCACATGAGGATCCGCGAATATGCCTGGGCACAAGGAACATGTTTCTCATCTAGGGCCAAAGTGCAAAACTTAGGGGGCACGCGGAGTTGAACCGCGCACCTCTCGATCTGCAGTCGAATGCTCTACCACTGAGCTATACCCCCACAGCCGCGATCCGAGAGAGTGTGGATTGCGGCGAAACCCAGCGTTTGGGTGTCAGCAACGTTGCATTTATCACGACTGTAGGGACGAGTTGATCGAGTGGCTGAATTTCAAAAATAAAGGAGCATGTTGGGACGGCGCTCAGTGTTGTGTTGTGCCGGGAAGCCAACCGTGCATCGATGTTCGCCTAATCCGGGGAAGATCGTAAGTAACAGTCTGAAGAAATTTCCAAAAATAGCAATCACAGTCACAAGCCGAAATCTGAAGGAGAGGCGTATTCGACGACGATCAAAAGCAACAACTAGATGGCTGGATTTATTCTGGCATTGCGCAAATGATGAGCAGAATGAGCTATACTTCAGGCAGGTGAGTAAAATATGTATGTGGAGCAATAAAATACCCATCGAGATGATCTCAGCTTCGCAGCCTTTATTTCCCTAACACATAACACGGACAGCATATTTTGCACCTTTTTTCGAGGGAAGCATTGCCTTACAAATAGCACTCGGTCTTGTGCGTCGCACTACTTTAAATGGTCTATGTATATCATTATTGCCACTATGGCATGAATAAGACAAAAACGATCTCACTATTGAGTTAGGTAACTACTCTAGCATTAAGTGTGATACAATTATTAGGTTGAGGAAACATAAATGTACAATATGCTTGTTTTAATTTTTCTCAACTGCGTGAGCCGCGCCTTTGTCACACAGTTCAATTTCAGAGATCGTCAATCCATAATGGTCTTAGCGGTTTCCTTAGATGGTAACGCAATGGTACTACTAAGTCAATATGATTACAAAAATCTATGTATTGGGTTGGGGAATAAGCTCGTTCGGTTTTTCATGGGAATGGAAACTACTGATTTTCACGGACATCGTCAACCACGCTGAATGGATTACATAGCTCTTTCCCTCTTCTATTGATGCTGCCAGAGACAGGAGAGCTTGTCACCTCCATGTCCACGGAAAATTGCTTTGTTTGAGACGACTCAACTTGTAACCCGCAACCGCAACTCCTTGATGAAGTTTGCAAAATGAATACAGAATTGAACAAAATAACCTGTGTAAGACTGCGTCAGACCTGTAGAGTCGGTAATAGTGGGAATCCCTTACACACGAGATTTTTGCTAGTCATTTTGGTAAGATTTGCTTGTAGAAATCAAAGATACCCACTGTGGACGATCACCTCATTTTGAGCATTCTGGGGTTTTGCACGGAATGCGTTAGCTAAACTTGAACATCATTGAGAGCTAGCATCAATAGTGATTATTCCTTACATCTGAAGCAAGCTCAGTAGATAAGCGCCTTTATATCCCGCAAATTGAGCGTCCATAACGAGAAGCAACTCTGCGGCAAAAATCACCCTGTCTAGAGCGGGCATGCCTCTTCTGTGCTGTCATTCCAACAGTAAAGGTTCCTCTGTAGACGTCTATTGATATAGCCAGCCAATTGAGCCGCATTTGATCCAGGATTGAAGCCGTACAGTAGTCGGTGGCGGAGGGCTCAAATTTTGTGGACTTGGACGGTCACGTTCCATGCGGTAGGAAACAAGGTAAAACGAGTATTGAGGAACATGGTTGCAACGCTTGCAAAGAGCAAATCAAGAGCTTCAAAATGGGCCATGAGGGCAAATCAGGCAAAGTTCAAATCTAAGACAAGTTGAAAAAAACCGCACGAACTTATTCCCCAACCCAATATATTGGAATTTCTATGGAAATTTTCGATCAGAGAAAGGATCCAGGACTTTAGAGAATGTGGGAAAAAAGGCGCGGTTGTAAACGAATTAAGGGCAGCACCCGTCGAAATCCTCGATTCCGAGTTGAACCGCTGACAGTGGAATACATTGCCAGCACATCACAAAAGTTCACAGAACACAAATAACCCCGACTTACCTGCAAAGAAATCTAAATCGAAGTCGCGAACACCGAGAACACAGCGGTCTCCCATGCGCCAGCGCACACAGGTCGCGGTCGCTCGGTACAAGCGTGTTTGGCCTTCACGAGCGTCAGACGCTGCGCGCTTAGACGCGCGCAAAACAGTACCACGATTTCGTGAATTTCCCGTACGTCTCGCGCTGTTTCACTATTGGATATGAGTTCTAGATCCCTCAAAACCCCGTGAACCCGCAAAATCTCAAACACGAAGATTTGGGCGGGTGCTGTCTTTAAAGGCAGCACTCACGGAAATTCTCACCTCTGAAATGTCCATGTAGCCGCCCACCGGACAATCGCAACAGTATGTTGAACATCTTGAGTGGCCGCCTACCTGCGAAGATACTGCCGTGGACACATCTGCCGCTACGTACATTAAGGCTTCGTCGCGCCAACTAACGCCGTTGACAGGGTGTGCGCATGCGGTTC